GGGGGAGCCGCCGCCGCGGAGCCGGGGCGCGTCCCGCGTCTGCAGCGAACTTCTAGCCTCGCCGCCGCTGCGCCCTTGGTGCCCCTTAGCTTCGCGCTGGGAACTTCGGGGGTTTTGCTTGAAATTCTGGATTATGTTCCTGCGGAGCCGGTCTACGGGGAGCTGAGCCAGGGGAGGAAGAATGCGGGTCTATCTAACGGTCTTCTGCCTTATTTGCTGCACCGCGAACGGGCAAGTAGTGTATTCCATCACCGAGGAAACGGAGCGTGGAGCGTCTGTTGGAAACATAGCGAAGGATTTAGGAATAGATGCAGCTACACTTTCAGCTCGGAAATTTCGCATGATCACCGGTTCAAGTAAGCAATATTTTAATATAAATGCAAGCACGGGGGCTTTGTCTGTTAACGAGCCCATAGACAGAGAGCAGCTTTGTGAATTAAAGTCTGCCTGTCTTCTGAATTATGAACTCGTGTTAGAAAACCCTCTAGAGCTTTATAGGATGGAATTTAAAGTCTTGGACATAAATGACAACTCCCCCAGCTTTCCCTTAAGTGAATATCATATAAACGTGCCTGAGTTCCTGTCACCCGGGGCACGGTTTACACTCCCCATCGCCCAAGATCTTGATGAAGGTACCAACAGTGTCCAGAATTATACTCTGAGCCCTGATGAACATTTCCATTTGGAAATGCAGACACGCGGAGATGGGAGTAAATATCCTGAATTGGTGCTGAAAAATGCCTTAGATAGGGAGGAGCAAGCTGCTCACAGACTTGTCCTTACAGCCAAAGATGGTGGGGATCCTCCAAAGTCCGGTCATGTCCCAGTCATTGTGGCTGTGCTGGATACCAATGACAATGCACCAGAATTTGAGCACTCGGTCTACAGGGCGAGTATCTTGGAAAACTCCCCCAGTGGTACTTTGGTAGTGCAAGTGCATGCCACGGACTTGGATGAAGGTCCAAATGGAGAGATCAGGTATTCATTTAGCAATACTACTTCTGCTGATCTACAGCGAATGTTTTTAATTCACCCACACACTGGGGAGGTGACAGTCAATGGCGTTTTAGCTGTTCAGAGACCTCTCCTTGAGATGCTTATTGAGGCAAGTGATAATGGGGCATTTGGCATGTCCAGCACAGCTAAGTTGCTGGTGGAAATCACTGATGTGAACAATCATGGCCCAGAGATAACAATTACATCCCTTTCCAGTCCCATTCCTGAGGATGCTGTTCCTGGCACAGTCATAGCTCTGCTGAGTATTATGGATAAGGACCCTGGGGAGAATGGGAAAGTAACCTGCCAGATACCTGATAACCTTCCCTTCCAGTTAAAGCCTTCTCTTGAAAACTACTACAGCCTGCTCACCAGTGGGCTTCTGGACCGAGAGCTGATCAGTGGGTACAACATCACCATTACTGCCACAGACTTGGGCTCTCCACCCATCACTGCTCAGAAGACCCTTTGGGTGCAGATTTCTGATGTGAACGATAACCCCCCTGTCTTCAGTGCTGACTCGTTTGATGTGTTTGTGGAGGAGAACAATCCACTTGGCACTTTACTCTACCAAGTCTCAGCATCTGACCCTGATATGGGGGAGAACGGACGGGTCTCTTACATGCTCAGGAATTCCACAGTTGCAGGCAGTGCCCTGACCAGCTTTTTGTCTGTGAGCTTGGCCAACGGGAGCATCTATGCAACACGTGCCTTTGACTTTGAGCAGCTTAGGAGTTTCTATTTCCAAGTGGAAGCCAAGGACAATGGGTCACCAACGTTGAGTGCTGCCGTAACTATGAATGTTTACATCTTGGACCAGAATGACAATGCCCCAACCATCCTGTACCCCACGAGCCAGAATGGCTCTGTAGCTGTGGAAATTGTGCCCCGCCTGGCCGATGAGGACTACCTGGTGACCAAAGTGGTGGCAGATGATGAAGACAGTGCACAGAATGCCTGGCTCTCCTATCACCTTGTCCACTCCTCTGACTCCACCCTGTTCCGCTTGGCACCGCACTCTGGTGAGCTGCGCACCACGCGCTCCATGCGCTCTACTGACTTCCTCAAGCACAAGGTGGTTGTGGTGGTGCGGGACCACGGGGATCCACCACTCTCCTCTACTGTGACAGTGGGCATCCTGCTGGCTGACACCCTGCCCCAGGCACTGCCGGACTTTGATGACAGTGGGGAGCCGCCACCACTGCTCAATGCTACAAACATCTACTTGATCGTTTCCCTTGCCTGTGTCTCCTGCATCTTTGCGGCATTCATGCTCTTTC